ATACAGATTCACACGAGATCCTTTTTTTTCTATCTATGATTGGACTTTGGTAAGGTAATTTGTCCTGAACACAAAGTAGTTTTTATCCATTAAACTTCGTGTTAGGAAAATACATTTTAAGTACTACTGTTGAATTTATTTTGTTATTATGTTGATGTCACCATAACACTATAGCTTCACTCTTTGTTAATGATAGGACCCCTTTCTTATGTTGAGAAGACATATAACAGTTTTATACATACATAGATTTACTTGTATTGATTCCTACACTATTTTTGATGCTGTACAAGATTTTGCTCTATCTCCGTGCGTAGCTCTCGGTAACATTAACCCTTCCTTCTTATAATAACCCGTAGGAACAACCGATATGCTAGTTTCAGTCAGAGATGACTCAGCAATCTTACGTAGTTCCGCATCCTCCTATTGCTGATCTATTAAATTCTTCCTCTCTACGGGTACTTAGCTAATCCACAACCTCACTGTTATCAGATTCATGGCAAAATAACGAGTTTAATTCCTTACTGAAGCCCCCCTGCACTTCGTCGCATACCTACGGTCTTTTATTTTGGTTTTCACTCACAGTGATCACACTACCCTGTCCCTTCTTCGGGTCCTCACGACTCATTTCCGCCACTCTCCTCACCGCTCTGGCAACCGCATATGCCGGGTACATCTCCGTCTCCTCACCTAGCTGCTCACTGCTGCAGTCAAGGTCTGGGGTACTCAGAACAATAGGATTATTTATGCCACAAAACACCTTTCCTTTCACCAGGTCATTTGCGAGAATAAATGAAACGCCTTCAAAAGGCGTTTCATTTATTCTCTGTAATATCCATGTCTATATAGTCACATTTTAAATGAACACGGTGAAGCGGAACACTCATTTGTCCACACTATTCCAGCTAATGTAGTATTAACGTTAACAGAAGACTCCTTTGAAAGAGGCAGTATACCTTTAGCATTAAGGACATTAGAGAGCCCGTATCTCTAAATATAACCACAGACTTCTCGCTACCTTCTTCACCGACCATGGACACCGCACCCTCTGAACAAAAGGGTCGGAATTCTGCTCTGACTTTTCCTAGGCCGCGAACATTCTTTCGGCGGATTGCATCATTTGAATCCCTAACCCTGGCAAGAGCTGTTGGAACATCCTTGGACCTTCTTTCTTTAAGAAACCAGCAATTACTTTTAGTATGACCCAAAGGATTACAATTAAAACACCTAATGGGCCTCCTCTTATGACTATTAGAACTCTGACCAGGGCTGGCAGTGTTCTTTTTATATTCACTTAAATTACCTGTCGGTGGAGACGGTTGTGGTGACATATTACCCGTTATGAAGTTATCTTTCCTCTGACCTTCAGCACTACCTGCCTTATGTATAAGAGAGAGAGAGAGAGAGAGAGAGAGAGAGAGAGAGAGAGAGAGAGAGAGAGGGAGAGAGAGAGAGAGAGCGCTTTTAATTTTCTCGGAGTTGCCACATATATGCTTTGAGGTATTCGAAGGTCAGTTATTGATGCATAATTACTTTAAGTATGTAAGGGAGAAGCAGAAAGTCACTATTCATCTTTAACACTATATTTAGATTAACCACATGTTCAGTAATTAACCATCACCACATCATAGAAAGTGTATCGCTTGATTCTATCTCTAGGGGCTGGTTTCAAACAATCTATGTGTAGAATAATTTATTCACTTGTAAAGGATCCAGATCAACATTCAATGTGGGTTTTATTCAACCTGCAAACAGTAATTCAAAATACTGAGGCAGCAACATAACAAAATATTCCATAATAACTAAATCATATTAAATCTATTGGGGAGATAACTCAAATTTACAACCTTATATTTTCTACCAATAAATCAAATCACTTACATCATGGCACCTTGCCCCTGAAAGATGGCTTTCAGCCTCAAATCAAATCTGTCAGTCATCAGGCTGTATAAAAGGAACATAATACATTTATGATACATAAGCAACAATTTCAAAATACAGAGATTATCATTCCTTCACTCAATTTCATTAATACATCTACTTTTGTACTAAATCACAGATTTAAACTGTATCAAATTCTTCAGTTTTATCCATAATACCATCACTATATTCATACAATATTCCTACCTGATATTTACACATCAAAATTTGGCCAACTTAAAAGATCTCTTTTGAGGAGCGTTCACATGGCCGGTCATTTCCAGCTTGTAAACAACGCTTCCAGATAACAAAATAAATTCTTGATGCGTAATATTCTCAAAATCCATACAATGTCTTATCAGAACTTAAATTGTGCAAATTTTCCTCTTCATTTCAGTATCACAAAATTACACAAATTAAAACTAGTTTCTTATACAATATCACAACTTAAATTCCAATGTTCTATTAATAATACATATAATTCAATATCATTTTCCATAATAATACAGAAAGTATTCAGCACACTCATTAACACACAATAATGTAACAAATTGATAAACAGAATGAATATATGTATATACAGATAATGAAATATATAGATAGGGAACCTCTAAAAAAGACAAGATAATACATGACCGGCTCCTCCCGACCACCGACCAGCGCTCGCCAGCTCGTTCCCTCAGACCTCCAAGTATGTTCTGAGCTCCTTCCCTGTTATTCACTGTGAACCATGAATGTGAATCTAAATCCGACTAAGTATACACTATTCGAACACCAGTCCCTTAAAGCTACGTCTTGCAAAGTAAGTTCAGTCTGGTGAGGAGACTAGCGCAGGTCGATGCTCAGGAAACAAACGCGGTTATCATCATCTCCAGCATTATCACAATGTATATATATATATATATATATATATATATATATATATATATATATATATATACGTATAGATATATACATATACATACTTACATACACATAAATATATATTTCAGATTATGTATTGTTACATCTTTCCTGCCTTACATCCTCACCTAGACCTCAAGGAGGATATGCAAATCAGCCCATCGACTCATTATCTCAGAATTCACTCTGAGATAATAGTTTCTGTTAACAGAGAGATATCAAGTTAGACCACACTCCTCTGGCTAACATCTGATAGCTTATAGGCGTTTATTCTACTCAGTGATTTGTCTGCTCAATGATAGGGTAATGTAAACATAAACATTTAATTTGCATCAAAATATATTCTCAATAAGAAGTAAATGAAAAATTCCTCATATAGTATATATCTCCCATAAGTGGATGAAACTCAGTCACATTCTACACACAGAATGTAGATATGTGACCAAAAATTTCAAACACTACAGATGGCTACATTAAGGTAAGGTGGAAAAGACCTTCAAAATGACACCTAGATCGTAGGAATAGGTTCAATATTAAGGAAGTTATGGACATTTAAAGATTAGTAATTGGCGTCCCATTTGTTCCTATCAATTAACAGTAAAACAATAGAGCGAGTGTGTCCCTAACAGAGGATTCCTAACTATTTTTTTTTTAATGCCATTTCCTTAATATTAAAGATATTCACTTGAAATTTTCACAAAATGTACATGATGTGCAGTTTGTTTACCAAACAAATGAAATGAGCCAATGAGCAACCGGGAAAGTGATCACGTGACCTAAACTTGCCGATACAGCATCAGTGAACAGCTTGCAGAACACTTTCTACACCTCTAATCATCGGGCCCCCTAAACTATGATCATTCAAAATATACACATGTACGATGTCTTTAGGCATTACTAAAGGATATTGACCAAGTTTATTTGCAGTTTCGAACAACTTCAATATGGCGGACGGCGGTGAGCGTGAGGGGTATGCATTTTCAGGTCGACAGAAAACTAAGCTTTAACGAACCAATCACCATCAAACTTCCTGACATGTAAGATTAAACATAATACTAAGAGACCACTTACATTTAAAATATGTCCAAAATCGATAAACCCATCGGCCACACTGGAAATGGAACAAAAGGGCGGCCGCTGGATCTGAGATGTGCACGTACCTACAGAATGGGTATCACTTGCAGCTATCAAACGTATCTATATGGCTAAGCCAACAAAAGAAAAAAATGTTATTACCTGGACACGTGCTCTCGATGGCTGCGAGGCCACTCATTTATTTCAATTGAATTTTTATGCAATTCCTATGATAATTTACCTTTTCTCATTAATTAGCTTTACACTTCATCCCCTGAAAATACTTTAAACCGTAGCCAAACTCAATACAACCATTATTCTACTCTTAATTTTAAATCAAAGATAGCAACAAGCATTTCCCTTCCACACCCTTCCGGCCGAACCATCGAGAGAGCGCCGTAAACAAAACGTTCTAACACTTTTCCTAAATGATCAACATCTCACTTCGAATGTTATTTCAAGTAAATGACAGCATCTTCTTGATCCTCACATTTGTATAAAATAAGGAAAACTTTTCATAGAGATCAATTAATGAAATCATACGGACATTGCACAACAGATGCAAATAAATCATAAATCATTTTTACAAGTATAAAATATCGTTCCATGAATATAACTTTAAATTCCGTAATGCACAATCAAATACTTACTACAACCTATGTATAAATATCACAGAAAAAATAGTATTTGAGAGGATAAGTGTAACAGTATTTTCTTATAAACTATTATATTGTACAATCAACAGCAAATAATCATTTCAACATAAACTAGATCTAAAGTTTTCTATATTCTTATGTATTTTTGACTTGTTGGAGATAGTGGTGGTGAATACTACTTTTTACTTAACAAAATTATACACATTTATACTCCACCGACCACACACAGAAATACATACACACACATACACACACACACACACACACACACACACACACACACACACACACATATATATATACTATATCGAGACTGTCTGTAAATTCAGATGAATCCTGATAAATTAATCTGATTAGATGAAAGGGAAAGGTCTTTATCTTTTGTAACCAGTTAGCTTATCAGCTGAAAACAGCAGTCAAGTGCGGACTGTCTAACCGTACAGAGCAAAAATGAGTGATCCTCTCGATACGGTGCTGGAAGACTCAAAAACACCATTGATAGGACAGAACCCAGTGAACTCCGCACAGGATGATTCAAACACACCATTAACAGGAGAGAACCCAGTGAACGCCGCACGAGAGGATTCAAACACACC